TTATTGAGACTTCGAAAAAAAGTTTTTTTTACTTTTTTTTTTTTGTTTGAGTTCCTAAAAAAATAAATTTAAACGGCTCTAAAAATATTTATTTGACTGCTAAAGTGTTTTGAATCATAAGAATTTTTTACTAAAAATTACTTTCGCCAAAAATATTTAATTTTGTGCTTTTTCGGAGTTTCGAGATGCTAATTTTGAAATATTTGCGTTAATYTAATTAAATGCTGATTTGCTTTTATTAAATTCAGAACCACAAAATATTCAATTTTTTTACATTTATATCATTTTATCTGCGTTCATTTGTTTATCTTCGSTTATTTTTTTGATTACTCATAACGATCGGCAAAAAATTTACAAATGCTTTGTTTATCCACCAAAGCGGTGCTATTTTTTTGTAATTAAAATGCTTTTATGCTTTCTTTTTCTTACATTTTTTAATTTCGCAAGCACGTTTAAATGTAAAAAACATAAAAATATTTGTAATACAAACAAAAACACGTAGCCACACACATATGCGTATTCCGTAAAATTTCTCAACACTCGCGCATTTGTTCGCTTTTAAAGTTCTTTGCGATCGTTGTTACTTTTGTTTCGCACATTTGCATTGCTGCCATTATTTTTCGGTTTGTATACYGAGTGGGTATTCATTTTTTATGTTTTTAAATGCTATTTTTAAATTTCTGACGTTGTGCGACAAGTTGTTTGGAAAAATTGAAGCAAAATAATCAAAAAAAAATTAAGTGATATATACAAAGCTGCAAGCGAATTAAAAAAACAACGACAACAACGGTGTGTGTTAATGTTTGTAACCCCGAAAACGTGTTGAAGACATGCGTAAGAAAACCACAAATATTGAAGCAGTTTTGAGTTATGGAAAATTGTACTGAAATTGCAACGCGAAGTCGCGGAAAATTTGCGTCGTTTCAAGCGAATGTGAAAAAATATTTATTTTAATTTATTAGTTGTGTTTAAAAATATTTTATGATAATATTTATAATTGAAAAAAATCCTAAAATACTGTGTAATAGTATTTAGGAATGAAAAATTAAACAATGATAAATAAATAATTTTTTTTAAGACTAAAAGCGGGGAAAAAGTAATAAAAACTAAGTCTTGTGCCATGACATTTAAATGTTTAAATAAAAAATATTTTTAAACCCTTTTCGCTTAAACTATGATAAACAAGTAAGGAAGGGCTAAGTTCGGGTGTTACCGAACATTTTATACTCTCGCATGATAAAGTGATAATCGAGATTTCAGGCGTGGTTGTGAACCGATTTCACCCATATTTGGATTGGATTTTTCATTGAAATCCGTTGAGTACTTCCTGAAATATGGTTTTTGGTTCATAAGTGGGCAACGCCACGCCCATTTTCAATTTAAAAAAAGCCTGGATGCAGCTTCCTTCTGACATTTCTTCCGTAAAACTTAGTGTTTCTGACGTTTTTTGTTAGTCGGTTAACGCACTTTTATTGATTTTCAACATAACCTTTGTATGGGAAATGGGCGTGGTTATTATCTGATTTCTTCCATTTTTGAACTGTATATGGAAATGTCTGAAGGAAACSACTCTATAGAGTTTGGTTGACATAGCTATAGTAGTTTTCGAGATATATACAAAAAAGTTAGTAGGGGGCGGGGCCACGCCCACTTTTCGAAAAAAATTACGTCCAAATATGCCCCTCCCTAATGCGATCCCTTGTGCCATATTTCATTTTAATATCTTTATTTATGGCTTAGTTTTGACTCTTTATAGGTTTTCGGTTTCCCCCATTTTGTGGGCGTGGTAGTGGGCCTATTTTGCCCATCTTCGAACTTAACCTTCTTATGTAGCCAGGAAATACGTGTAAATGCATTTAAATTTTAATTAAAAACAATTTTTTTTTATAAATGTTTATGTAACGAAAATATTTTTACGTCCTTTTCTCTTAAACTTCTATAAAAAATTTAATAATATAATAAAACAAATTATATAATATTTTTACATATAATATAATATGATAATATTTTAATAATATTATTTCCATAAAAATTTAAGTTGAAAACAAATTTTTTTTGTCCTAATACTTTAAATAAAGAATTATTTTCCACGCTCTTTTAGCGTAAACCACAAAAACATTTTTTTGTAAAAAACCATATTACTTCCATTTAACTCTTAGTAAAAAAAAAATTATTAATAATAATTAATTATTATCTCTTAATATGCATAATTTTTCATTCCTTATAAATCTTAGTACAAATTGAATCACAACGCTTGGCAACGCTTTAGCTCTATAAATGTCATTAGCAACGTAAATATCGCTCATTTTATAGAAATATTGTATAAAAATTATAAAAGAAATCAATATAATACAAGTGAAATAAACAAAATCGTGTGCAATTAAATAACATCAAATGTAAAATATATTAAAACAAACCAATACAAAACAAAACAAATGTGAATAAAAATCAATTGGACTTTAAATTTTTCTCGAATAAAAAACTGCTGCATTTATTTACGAATCTGTGTAAGTAAAAAGTATTAATTCTTTATATAAAAAAGTGAATATTTCTTACACAGAATGTYTTTGATAAGAGGGGTAGTGTTTTTTTTATTAAGGTAGAGTCTACATTAAAAAATTGCATTATTATTTTAAGCTAAAAATTCGAATTGTAAAAAATACCTAGCTAACTCTCTAAAGATAATTATTTGGAATTGATTATTTCTAAATATTTATATTTTCAAGTAATAAACTCGGATTAACTCCTTGTACTGGAGATGCCTTTCTATATAAGACATGAAAAACGACACAAAAACAAAATAAACACTTTTCTATGGGTCGAACTCTCCTCAGAACTTGTAGAATAGATCACTATGCAATAAAATGCAAGGACCCTCGAGCAGTTGTCCTTAAAATCTAATATCACCATTTAATTTTTAACATTTAACTCAATTGCACAGACACTGAAACGAGCTATTGAAAATCTRGAAGCACAGGTTTCCTTATAAAGATGCTGTGTCACTCTT